CAAAAAAAGTTTGTTTTATAAAAACACAGAATCCATACATGAGTTATGGTATGAATAAGTGTAGTGTATATGTAATGAGGGCTAAAATGTCTGAGCGTTTTCCTCCCACCAGTGCTCACATTCATCCTCCAGACGACTCCAACACTTGAATTCCTCCTTCATTTGGCATTACTTTTGGATATATTGTATACATTTTAGAGCAAAAGTTTTTCTCTTATTTTTCTGCCTTTCATTCCACACATAACTGAATGAATAGTAATTTTTGTTTTATTTTCAAAACAAAATTTTCATTCAATGCTTTTAAAGGTATGATATGTTGTGAATGAATGGAAAAGTTTTTGTCTAAATTCTTGTATTGATATTTCCTATTGAATGTGAATTTTGTATTCAAACAATTGAATACTGTTTTTGGCGAAAATTATCGCTCAATAAATAGAAACACTTATAAGTCTTATAAATCGTTAGCAAATATTTATTGATATATAATATGGATTTGATTTGGTCTCACAGGATATCACTATACATATCATTACAAGACTATAATCTGCGACGACATGAGTAAATTGTCTCCGATTATATCGAGAGAGAGAGAGAGAGAGAGAGAGAGAGTTAGTTCTTATTTATATTTGTCTGAAATATAATGTTTTTTGGTATTTATTCTGTAATTGTGTTGGATTTGAGCCAAAGTTTTTCTTTCGTCGAAACTGTTTTTAATGAAATTCAAGTCATATATTGAGTACTTTTACTTAACGTATTGAATGGCATTAATATATAATTGATTTATTCCTGAATTTATGCTTTTCCTTCCTCTGCTATAATACACATATTGAGTGAAAAACTAAATGTGTTTTAAAATAAAGTATTTTATCCTCTAATGAAGTGATCCCTTAATTAAGCAATTTTTATGCAATACATCTCAATGTTATCCGCGATTTATAAACAGTAAAACTTCTAGTTTTGGTGTTTTAATTGACATAAAAATACACATAAATCTTCTCCTTTTTATCCTTTTAACTGAAAAGACATTTATATAAAAACTTTTAAAGTTATATAACATTTAGTACAAAATATATTCTCATTTGTATTGCCATTTATCTCCTGTTTTGTTGTTTTGTAATTTATTTTATGGTTTTTTGAATTTATTTACATTTTTCATAAATAGTCACGAGTTTTATATCTAATTTATATTGATTTTGTTTTTACTTTTATTAGACAAATGTTTGAATTCCTTTAGATTCCTATCAAAAGAGTTGGAAAAAATTCAATTTTATTTACATTTTTCATAAATAGTCACGAGTTTTATATCTAATTTATATTGATTTTGTTTTTACTTTTATTAGACAAATGTTTGAATTCCTTTAGATTCCTATCAAAAGAGTTGGAAAAAATTCAAATTCAATTCAAAACTTTTTAAATATTTTTATAAAATACTATCAAACACTGAAAACAAATCAAATCTCATGTGTTTTATCTTATTTTTCTTAAAAAAGATTTTATTAACAAATATCATGTTTTTAATTGATATCTATTGCACACGATTGAAGAAAGTGGACACATTTATTGATAACTTTATTTTAATGATTATTTTTTTAAAAAAATTACTGATTTAATTACAGAATTGCTGAATTTAGCGAAAAATTTAATTTTTCACTCATTTTATGCACTGAATCCTCAATTCATTATCTCTTTTGTAAAGTCAATGAAGAGAGTAACTGAAACTTCACTATATTTTTTACAAACGTTAAACTTTGATCTGATTTGAAGGCAAGAGTTTTATAACATTGAGTTCTGGGAAAAGAGTGGTTACGAGTCTTGGAAGAAAACGAGAGAGAGAGAGAGAGAGAGAGGAGTATTTCATACATATTTAGTGTATTTACAGTACAGTGTATAAGCACTAGACTTGCGATACATTTATATACGGGGGAGAGAGTAAGGAATGGGATCTTATTTTAAGTCTCATGACTGCGAGAATATACTGTTATATTACTTACAGTTAGTGTTCCTCTCATTCATTGAATGAATGGTTACTTTTTGTTTGCATTCAATTCTTTGTTGACATTATATTTAGACAAAAGCGTGAGTTTTGTTTTCTCTCTATTTATTATTATTACTCTTCATTTTCTATTAATATTTTATATTTATTATAACTATTTGTTTATTATTAACTAAACATTTATTGTTATTATCATTACTAGCGTTTTGTTAATACAATTATAATTATTTGGTTTTTATTCGTATGATTCCTAATAGGAATTTCCCAAATAAATCCATAATATGTTTGATATTCTTACGCAATATTTACAGAATATTTCTACCATTGAATTGGATATTGTGTTGACATTTAAGTTAATAGTCTTGACATTTATCATGTTTATAATTCTGTCATTAAATATTCTTATTACTAAACAGCTTGTTAATTCTATAAGTAATTAATTTGAATCGTGATATAATATGCTATTATCCGACTAGTTATTAATCCTAAGCAAATGTGCGCTTATTTTGATAAGAAATTGTGTTCAATCATTGGCTGCTATAATAAATATGGTTTATTATTACAATTAATTACAAACAATAACATGTGATATATTGTGATAATCTGTTTGTAATTAAGTATATAGTTTGAGTTTCGTACTCAATATACGGACATATATTTACTTTTTTTAAATTTATTGTTTATATATTTAATTAAAAATACTTTAATAGTTTGTCTCAAATATAATTGTTTGTAAATTCAATGCTATTATAGATTCAGAAATTTATATCTGCTTTTAATTGATTTCATGGATGAATAAAATACCAATTAGTTAATGGCCTCTAATATCTGTGATGGCATTCAGTAATACTATTATGTATTAATTATTTCATTATTACTTTATATGAATCGATTTTGTCAATGTGTTTGCAAAATATGATATTTTTGTTGTTGTTTATAATGAAAAAGCAAACCAATCGGTAAAACTGTGTCAGTTGTGAACACTAATCACAAATTGATAGCATTTTTGTATATCATATCAAACCATTGGATGAAACAGATATACATAACATGGAAAATACATAACACGGTGTATATAACGTGTTGTATATAAACACTAGCAATAGAGTCAATAAATTATCATTTTGTCGTTTAATTCAAATCGTTTTCAAGAAAAATGTGAGAATAAATGTATTTTTAATTTTAGTGAAGAAACTAATAAAACGTTTCTATTGTTAGACAAAGAGAATAATAATTAACTCATATTATTAGTTGTGTTACGCAAACCCTATGGCCTCTAAATTTTAATTAAATTAGTAGACATTTAACTCATTTTTATCGCTTTTAATTGTAAATTATTGTTATTATTATTAGTATCTGTTTTTGTTAAGGTCTCCACTAATTGAATGAAAGTTTTTCTGTTTTTCTGCTGCAAAATCTCTATTTTCTTATTGAATTCATCCCAATATGTAATTCAACAATAATTGCGAGAAATTTATGTTTTATTTATTTAATTAAGAGTTTATTTTATATAAAAGATTGCTTTTTCTTATTAGGAAATGAAGTTTTTATTTTTGTTTGAAACGGTTTTATTATCAAAACTTATGGCACAGTTTTGACAAAATAAAGTTATTAACTTTTTATCTCTCTTATCCCTCGTTAACCGAAGTTTTGCGCAAAAATTTATTTTATTTCTTTTTGATATAAAGCACTTCTCCAGACAAACGTTTGATTCATAAGAAAATATTATTTATTTGTTTGTTTGTTGTCCTTCTTATCCAAGTATTTTATGTAATGATATTTGTATTCATTATTTTATTGATTTAAAGTTTTATTTGCTTATAATCACCTCTTTTTCCGTTACAGATCTCTTCTCCCTTTTACATTATATTGTATTCAACGGATTGAATGGTGTGATCGACACGTAAAGTCATTGATAATAAAAATACATTACATATAAACATACGTTTGACGTGATTGTGATATTAAATCATTGCAATCGTTGATTGCATACATCACCGCATTTTTTGCATACAAAGCGGCCGATAATTCCCAACCAATGCCATCCCTCGCGTACATAATTAAAGCCCTGTTGCGTCGGAAACAGATAGAACAGTCATCCCTCACCCAAACCAGACTCGACCGATGCCTATCCACACTAGACTTAACTGCTCTCGGTTTGTATATATGATTTATTTTGTAATTTATTGTTATTTAATTTAATCTGTTTTTCTCTATCAGGTATTGGCAGTACATTAGGTCTGGGAATCTATGTGTTGGCCGGAGAGGTGGCCAGTAGGACAGCTGGACCCGCAGTTACGCTCAGTTTTTTTGTCGGTATGTCATCTGTCTGTCAACCATTGAATCTATGAATATCTGAGCGTATTTTTCCATTTCTGTTTGAGTGATACCATACGTGTGGTCTCTGACAGACAATTTGATTACTATTTAGAGACTTTCAAACGATAGATGTTTTGAAATTTACTTTAAAAATATTTATGAAATTAAATATAAGACATTTCGAGTGATAACAGAAATATGTCATCAATTTTTTCTTTATTTTGACACTCTTTAGCCATATTTTTTTTGTAAATTAATTATAAACAAAGCGTTTGTTTATTTAAAAATATTAAGTGCTTTTTCGGTATAAACTTTAACATACTTTCTTAACATTTGATTAATGTATTGTAAATCTGTTGAACAGCTGCCGTCGCGTCGGTATTCGCGGGTCTATGTTATGCCGAGTTCGGAGCCCGAGTGCCAAAAGCCGGTTCCGCTTATGTATATTCCTATGTGACAGTCGGTACGATATAATCCTCAATATGTTATCATTTTAATCAAACTATTTATAACTCATATAAAAACTAAATTTTAATTAATAGGAGAATTAATGGCATTTATTATCGGATGGAATCTCGTCTTGGAATACGTTATCGGTATTTGACTATCGATTATCTCATATGATAAGCGATTTTAATGAGCGATTATCTGATTGTTTAGGCACAGCATCGGTGGCCAGAGGTTACAGTCTTTATATCGATTCGCTGGTCAACGGCACTATTCAGCACCACTTCAGGGAATGGATGCCAATGGATGTGACGGGACTATCGGCTTATCCTGATTTCCTGGCATTTGGAATAACCCTCTTATTGA